AAATGCAAATTCTCTGACCCTGGGTGTGGGACCCAGCAACACGGGTTTGACCTAACTGGGGGGGTGGGGGTGGGGGTGGGGTTCCTGGTGCATACTTAAGTTTGAGAACCACTGGAGCAAGCAAGTCCCCTGCTTTTCCATCAGTGTGCACTGTGGCAAGGGGCAGCTTGGGCCGCCTGTAAGGAGAACCGCGGGTGAGCAAGGCCACGTGTTCAAACGTAGCCGAGGAGCAGCCCTTCTTTAAGGAGATAAGCCCGGAGAGGGGATCCACGCCGGCCCCGGCGCGCTGTTTGGCCGGCTGGCCACTGGAGGGCAGTGCGACCACGTTCATGGCGCCCCTGCGAAGGCGGCCGGCGGGAGCGGGAGCAGCCCTCGGAGGCCGGCCGGAGACCAGCTGGGGTGGCTTCAGCACGGGGCGAGGAAATGCTGGGACAGCCGGTCCAGGCAGCGGCCTCGGCCCATCGTCTCCAGGCTCCTGGTCCCCCGCGTTCCTAGGGGCCCAATGGCGCAGCCACGCGCAGCCCTGGCCCTTGCCTCCCCGACGACGGACCTCCCTGCCTCGCCGTCCAAGGCCGGCCTGGAGGCGAGTCTGGCTCGCCTTGGGCCTGGAAGGTTCTGCGGGACTGCAGGACACGCAGGGGAGGAGACACCGTCAGGCCGCCTGGGGCATAGCGCCAGAGAGGGCGGCGGGACCTTGACAGCCTCCCCAAGGCAAAGGGCAGCCTCCCGCGTGACCCCTCCGAAGTGCAAAACAAGTCGGCCATCTTGGCGGCCACTTAACCCCCTCATGGCCGGGGGGCGGGCGGCGGACTCAGGGCCGGAGTCCCGGTCGCCCGCCGCCGCGGGAAGGAAAATTCTAAGAACTTCAGGAAAACCTGACGCCCTGGCATCTTCCCCAGGGATGTTTGGAAATCCCATCCCACTAGCCATTCCAAAAGCCAGAGCTTTTGTAAGTGAATTGGATTCTTTGCAGGGCACGCTCTTTCTTCTTGCCCCGTGTTGAAAGAGCATGAAGTCAGAGGCAGTAAAGTGGCTCCTACTGGTCAGCAGGTGTTGGTCTGGCAACCCAGAGTCAGGATCTGAGAGGAGTGTGTATCCAAGTGCGGTATCCTGTTGCTCACAGCATGAAGTGCCACTCCTTCCCAGATCACACGGGTGTCCAAGCCAAGGGTCAAGGACTGGCAGCCTGGGGCTGAATCTGAGTGGCAGTTTCCTTTCAGCCCCTCTCCACCCTGGGGACTTCCAGTGCCATTCTGAATGCCACTTGAGGAGCCACAGCCCCTACAGGCCACACTCCAGTTGTCTTACATCGGACCTGGTTCACACGTTGATATTGTCTGTCATTTGGTACTTCTCAGCATTTAGAATGTTCCTTGTAATATTGTCAGCCCTGCAAGGTCAAGCTTAAATATCAGCTCCACCAAGAAGCCTTCCTCAGTTTTCCTCCCTCTGTTGCCAGCAGAATGTGGCCCTCCCCTCCTCTGCCCACCGATGGTACCACTCATTAGCCTTTGCCACCAGGACTCCCCTGTTTTTCCTCCCCCTGCATCTTCCCCCCACTGAATTGTGGGCACCAGGACAGGAGGGACCATGTGGTAGTTGGTAGTGGTCTTTGTGTCCCCTGTGGCACCTCACACAACAACAGGAAAGGGTTGTTGCAAGAGAATCCTGTGAAATTATTGAATGGGTTTTGATGGTGGAAACAAAGTTCCCAAGCGTTTTGAACCTTGGGCGAAGGAACGTGGAATGGTGTTTTCTTAAGCCCTGTAATGGAATCCTTTTGTGTTTTTAATTGCTTTAAGTTATTTTTAGTGGAAATGTCAGGGTGCCATAGAAACAAACACCATGGGTCTAAGCTTGATCAAGAAGACTAACTACTGAGCCCTGTGATGTTGCTTCCTCTGTGTGGCCTTGGGGTGGGGAGCCTGGGACAAGGTTGCCAGGCTGCAGGTCAGGCCCCAGAGGCCAGCCAAGAAAGGTCTACGCTGGACTTGAGGTCATGATTTCAGGCTGAGATCTCCAGAGGAGGTAGAAAAGAAAGTCTTAGAGGAAGCTGAAGCCAAAAGAAGACTCCTTTTTCATGAAGGACTCCAGAAAACCCCTTTCATGCCCCACCCACAGCTGATTTGCTGAACGCTCATTAAGGGGAAAACAAAGAGGTGGTTTTGTTTATTTATTTAAGGGGAAAAATGAATGAGCTGTGACAAAACAATCTGAAACCAGGCCCCTCCGAGACCTGGGCTTTCACTTCCTTGATGGGAAGTAAAACAGAGAATCGAATCCCCCTCCAAATAAAAGTGAAGTTAATAATCAGACAGCTAGAGCCCTGGCCACATCCTGTGTCAGCTCCCTCCCTCCCTTGGCTCACTGTTTATAGCTGCAAAGCCTCCCTCCCAAAGCCCAGCTTCGGTTTAACTCTTTCCTCCCCATCCCAGAGAAGCCCAACCCTTGGGTGCAGGCCTGGCCTTGGCCAGACTGGCTCTCCCCGGGCCTGTCCCCCACCCCCCTCCGTGGGCCTGTCCCCCACAGGGCAATCAGCCTGCCTCGAGGCCTCTGGCTGATGAGTGTAATAGGCCCTGCTTTCCAACTGAGTGAGGTTTTCTGTGTGTCCCACACAAAAACCAAAGTGGCCACAGGAGGGCTGCACCCAGTCAGTATCCCTTTCCGTCTCCACCCATCCAGGGAAACACTAGGTAACATTTCTACTCCAGACAGGGCCTCTGCCCCATGCAGCCTGCATTAGCCTGGTGGTCTCCGGGAGCTGCATTCTGATGGAAAAAAAGCACAGCTCTTTGGGGTTTCTGATTTCCGTGGAGAAGGGTACTCTGTGCATGTCCTTGAGCCACTTTCTATGAAGATTTTAGGCCTCCTTCCACTACCTTCCCACCTTGTAGCACAGGTATTTCTTCCAGGAAACGAGGGGTTGTTGGTAGTGTGTCCCACTGGGCTGAGGAGGAACCCTTGCTAATATTTACTGAGGGCTTCTTCTGTCCAGCCATCACTGTAAGCCCCAGCTCTGCCCTATAGAGCCATCTGTTATCCTCATTTTACAGAGAAGACTGAGGCCCAGAGGGCTGAGTACCTTGTGCTTTGGTACAGGGGGGGGAAATAGCAGAGCTGGGCTTCAGGCTCAGGCCTTGTGGCTCCAAAGGCTGTGCTCTTAGCCTCTACACTCAAGGTCTCACGACAGAGAGTGCTCTCTTCTCTGGAGCCAGGGGACTTTCAGAGAGCTTAGAATAACCCCATGGATGCATTTCAAAGTTCCCAGAGCCCAAGGACTTTTTGAGAGTGTTAAAATTTTGTGTGGGGCAAAATTTTGTGTGGGATGGGGCAAATACTTTCATCGCTTGGCACAAGGTTGTAGAGCCGGAACCTCAAGGCTTGGGGTGGCTGCTTTCTCAGTGACAGGACTACCTTCTGCTGTGTCCCCTGTCCCTTCCAGTCCTGTAGCCCTCACCTAAAGTCACAAACACCCACTCCTGGCTGGTACCTGTCTCTAGAAAGCCACTTATCAGTTGCCTGGGGACAAGTGGCAAAGACTTTCAAATTGGCTCTGTGGGCCACCTGCCTCTCCTGGGATCCCTTCCTCTGGACACCATGGCTACTTAGATTCATTCTTGGAAGGGTGTCGGTGGTCCAGTCACCTTGACCAACCACTTGGCACATCCCTCTGACCTGGGAGGGTGTGTTCTGCTGCCCTTTGGGGTCTGGAGGCCTCCATGCTGCTTGCCTATAACAAGCTGGGAAGGTTCCAGAAGCTCCCTGTAGCGGGGAGCTGGGGAGCGCAGGATCTGCTGTCCATCTGTACCCTGAGCTACCTGCCTCTGTGACTGGGAAGGAGATGATCGGCTGTATACCTGCCTGCTTAGGATGCGTTTTGCCATTCAAAGGCACGGCCTGGAGTGGGGGGGTGCCCTATTCCTCATTTTCCAACTCATTCTTCAACCAGAAAGCGGTGAGGGCTCCATCCCAAGTGGCCTGTTCTTCCCAGAGCAGGGGTGGCCCCTCGGGGGACGGAGAGGACAGCAGGGGCTTCTGTGACACCCAGTAGGATTCTTGGCCCAAAGAGGGCTCAGAGTAGGAATGCTTTGACTTTTATTTAATTCAGATGTTGAAGTGAAGCCTCTGCAGTTGCAACAGAACCCCTAAGGTGGTCGTGAGAGGCTAGAGGCTGGCATTTGTCGAAGACCCCTCAAATCAGACCCATCGTTTATCACTTGGGCACTTCACGCTCATGAATCTCATTTCGCCTCACACTCTAGCAAGCGGGGCATGCGTGACTCTCCCCACTTTCCATTCGATGTTGGAGAGGTTGCCCACTCTTCGATAATAGCTCTCTACTGGCAAAAAAAAAAATTCATTGTGCTTTAAAACACATTGAAACCAACTGAAAGATAATTTTCACTGAGTTTAAAAGCAGTGCAAAATGAACACCAGCCTCTTCGAATGTTTCTTCCCAGCCTGGGAGGCCCTGAGGGACGGGACACCACTCTTGATTCTCATGTGTGTGTGTTGGGGGGGGAATGGGTGGAGGGTTTGGGGTGCTTTTCTGCCCCATGGATGCTGCTCTCCCTGCCTGTTCTCTAGTCCTCCCCACTCCTGGCAGGTCTCCCACAGGCTCATCTCATGTCCAAGAGCACATGTCCTCAGGAAGTAGATATCATGTTACAAGACCCAATAAGACAAGAATCCCCGAGTTAAGGTTTTTTTCAGCTTTTATGAACTGAAGACCTTTTATTATGGAAAATTTCAAACATATATGGGAAGAGACAGAGTAGTGTGAAGAATCCCCGTGTACCCACCACCCACATCACCAACTCTTGGCCAAGCTTGTCCATTTATACCACCGTCCGCCTCTCCACCTCCCATATAATAGTGAAGTAAATGCTATATATCAGAGCATAGCATTTTACCTGCCAGTATTTCAGTATGTATCTCTAAATAAAAGGGCCTCATTAAATTTAGCCATATTGTCTTTATCTCACCTAGAAATTAGCAATAGTCCTTAAATGTTAACAAGATTCCATTTCGTGTTCACATTTCCAGCACATTTCTGAACTCTTTGCCTTTCCACTTAAAGAAAGAAAACTGGCCCTGAAATAAGAATGTCTCAGCATTTGGTCATATCCTCACAGTCTGGCTCCTGAAAGGGCAGATTTCTGAATTTGGGCAGAAATGCCTGGTCACGAAGTCTCGGAGGCCAGTGATCCCTTAGTAACCTTGCTCCCCCTACAGCCCTGGGCCTGGCCGGTGCTGTGCACCTAGTGGGAGCTAGTGCTGGGTTTCATGTAAGGGTGAACCCGTGCAAGGGTGGGGATGCAAGGAGTTGAGCTAACGCAGCAGGACTGGAGTGCAGCCCCCACGCTCTGAGTGGCTGTCCTTGGCTCTCCCTGCAGTGCTCCACCCGCCAGCTGCCTGGGCTTCCTCTGGGACCCTCTTCTCTCTCTTGCTTGGGATACTTGACTGTGTTCCAGTGACTCCGTGGAACCCCACTTGGTGGGGCCTCCAGCCTTCTCCTTAGTCTTGCCAATTCACTGCTTAACATACAGCAACAGTTGACCGGGGGGGGGGGGGGCGGTGCTGGGAGGAAGGGGGGCTGCTCACATGTGCCAAGCGCCTCGCTCATCTGTCCTCACAGCAGCAGCCCCGGGAGATCAGGATTGCTGTCATTGCCATTTCATAGTGGAGGAGACTAAAGGAGGCAGGTAAGTGCCTTGCTCGACTAGGAAGTGGCAGTGAGGGGTTTGAATGGGGTCGGCCCGCACGCTGGGCACTCTTTGCTGCAACATCGGTTCCCAAATGTTGAGACTCATCTGGCAAACTGCTAGGCAGCTTGGCCTAGGACCAGGCACTTACCCTTTTGAGGACAAATCTCAACAAGTTAGGATCTGCAATCACCATGCGCTTTCCCCTGCAATGTTCACATCTTCCAGAACAGATATAGCATGACTTATTATTATACACACCCTTATTAGGAGATTAGCTCAGTTGAATGGAATAAATTTTAGGTCATTCAGCCTCTAATTTCCTGGTTTGTCTTTTTTCATGGTTAAATAATAGTTTGAGTCACAGATTATACGGCTGTGGCAGGTTTGAAGGTTAGGAGGGATGAGAAGAAACCGGCTTGAGTATCTAAGGCTACAACCTAGACATCCCTTCTGTCCATTGTGTCACATCCCTCAGTTTTTGAGAGAAGAAAAATATGACTTTTGGAACATACAGAACCAGGGTCAAGCACTTAAGAATTCTTGGGGAGAAGGGCTGGTGCAAGAACTGTTTTCTTTGTCCTTGTTAGTCAGAGTTCAGCCTGTGTGGCTTCCCCTCGGCTGAACTTTGGAGGAGCGGTTTCAGGGGGCCTGGGGAGGCTCAGACCCCCGTCCATCAGGAGCCTGCCACCGCCACTGCAGACGGCCGCTAAACCAAACTCACTTACTTCCTCTGCTGCTTGATTTTGCCTTGGTTTGTTTTTAGCCTTTCTCCCTACTCCTGCTGCCCTAGAGAAATGGAAGAGTGGGCAGAGGCGGAGTGATAACCTAAGGGAAACGAACGACCTAAGCAGACACAGACGAGAGACACTGGCTGACTCCAGAAGAGAGAGAGGCAACACAAGGCTGAAAGGCCAAGCCAACAAAGGGAGAGGAACCAGAATCTTCTGCCGGTGCTCATGGAGTTTATGAATACAAGGCATTAAAGGTGAGCTTCAAGGAGCTGTTTGCCAACCCAGCAATGGGAAAACTGTAGCTATCTTTAGGTCCCCTTGGGAATGCCTGGAAACTAAATCATCCAAGTTGTTTCCAAAAGTTGCATTTGCTGGGACTCCTCTGGCTTTGCAGAGCCCCTCTGTTCCAGGTTAGCCCTGGTCCACAGAGAGGTGGCTGGGGTAAGCCCCTCCCTGGAGGATGAAATGCTGACAGCACAGCTGTATCACAACCCGGTGCTTCTCCCACCACAGGGCTCCTGCTGCTCAGATCCTCCAGTGGGCCCTCCAGGGGGCACCATGATGGAAGCCACCAGAGTCTGGGGCGGACTGGAATGCTTTTCCGCCTTGCCCCAGGGAGATGAGCTCTACCCCTGAAAAAGAGCAACAGTGGAGGTGCACCGGGGGGATTGTAGGAAAAACACTGGGGAGGAAAGCTTGCTTTCCTAGGATTGTCCTTTGCTCTTGTTGGAAGGCTCTGAAATCAACAAGACTCAAGCACGAAGACTCAGAACATTAGGAGTGTGGCTGGTTGAGGGTCAAAGCAGTTTTAAACTCGCTGCTGCCTCTGTCTCTCTCCTGGGTCTCTATTTTTTATTTTTTTCTGGTGTTGTTTGCTCTCCCATTCTACTCTCTTTTCAGCATATTTATAACCGCCCCCCCCCCCCGCCTTCTTCTTCATTCTCAATTCCCTTCCCCACCCCAACTTTGCCTTCTTAGCATAATTTTTCTTTCTTTTTTGGCTTCCCTCGTTTTACATCTGGATTCTCGGACGGTTTATTTTGTCTGTTTCCCGAATTCCCCTCCTCTCCTGTTTCTTAAGAGTCCTTCCCCTCCTTTTCCTTCAGCGTCAGTTCTTTCCCCTAAAGCTTTCCTTGGGCCACACAGGCTTTTATTCTTGCTCATCTGTTTAAGCAGTGCTGGCAAGAAGGAGGCCACAGCCGGCAGGCAGAGCCATGGCGGCAGAAGAGGACCTGAGCATCTGAAGATTCTCACCGCAGCCCTGGTGTCCCTGGAAGAGGAGCTCCCTTCTGGAGAGGGAGGGCTGGGGACAGGGCTGCTCTCCCCCCTGTGAGGGTTGACATCGGCTGCCAGGCCCCGGGCTGAGGGTTGGGGCAGATGGTGTTTCCTCCACGGTGTGTGTGGGCCTGGGCCCCACTGCTCAGGGAGGCAGTGGAATCCGTCCCTCTCTGAGCAGACAGGTGGGGCATTCACCAGATTCCACCCTAAAGGCCAGAGCTCAGGGGAGGTGCGCGCACTGGGAATGTATTACTTGCAAAGGGATGTGCTGTGGGTGGGGGACTTTACGCAGAGGGGGCTGCCTCTTGGAGGAGGCCGGGTGTCTTTAGATGTTCGCTCTCTGGCGGAAGACCGAGGCGGTTTTCCAGTAGAAGGCCCTTCCTTCCCGACACCCCCACTCCTGCCAGTGCGCGTTTTTGAAGGGGCACGGGGAATGCAAGTGGTGCCTGATCATTTCAGGTGTCTGAAAGGCTGTTGGCCGCTGAGGAGCAACACAAACCCCACCTGTGGGGGGCCTCAGGGTCAGCCCCATACTGATAGAAGCAGGTGGTGCTTCTCGATGGGCGCGGGCGCGGTGGCAGAGAAACCCAAGAAGTTGCAGCCGCGCCCCTCCTTGTCTGGAGTGATGGGGGAGGGAGGAGAGGCGCATCCTGGCTCTGCTCCCCAGCTGTCTGAGGCAGATCGACTGGAGTCCATCTGGCTGTCCCCCTCACCCCCCACCCCCGACCCAGGCTTGCCTCCCACCCTGGGACGTCAATGCCATTGGGTCCTGGCTGAGACCTTAGCGGCCTAGATGAGGGGCAGCTAAGTCCATGCGCACCTGGGGCTGAGCTGCGTCCTGGGGTGCCGGGGCCCAAGAGCACCAGGTGGACGTCCGTGGGGCTGCACTGTCTTTTCCTAGGCCCCGTGTGATGGTGGCCACGTGCTGTTCTGGAAGTGCCATCAAGGGCTCCCCCACCTTCTCCACACCTTGCTCTCTTGCCAGGTCCCATCCATTCCTCGTCACCATCCGTGTACCATGTTACTGCTACTTTGGAAAGGTACTATTGATTATATAGAAGCTTGAGAGAAATCTTTGCCTATTTTATATTTTGCTTGTATTTTCTAAGCCTTCAGCCCTAGAGTCTAAGTCTTGGGGCCGAGCATCCTTAAAAACTCTAGAACCATGAGCCCCAGGGGCCCACAAATCCTTAGGCCTGGGCCCTGTGGAGCTGCTCTGTCTCTGGTTGAAGGCAGGGCCTCCTTCCTGGCAGAGAGGCCTATCCTAGCCAGGAGGAATGAACGGTTAGGGGACTTAGGAGAAGGATGGTGAACTTTCTTTTAAGTTCTCCTCTCAATTCTGGTAGGAGGGCTGGGGACAAAGACCAGCCTCTTTGATGTAGGGGTTTGGGGTGTTGAGGGGGGGGGATTAGGATCCTAGCAGCCTCTTGCCCTTCCCACCTGAGCGCAAAGAGTAGGCTCCTACACTCTGCGGTCTCGGGGCCGCCTCGTTCCTGCCACCTCCCTCTGCCCACATAGCACGTTGTATAAATATTTACACCCCCAGGCTGGCAGGAATCTTTCTCTAGCCACTTCCCCGGTCTCTGGGAGAGCTCTTTCTCTCACTGAACAGCTGCAACAGATCTGGTTGCCTTTGGTCGGACAAGGGCAGGCCCTGGTTTGGGGGCCCGTGGTCCCCACAGGGTGGAGGGTGCATTTGGCAGGAGAAACTCATCTTGGGAGAAGTCACAGGGCTGTGGCAAAGGTCCATCCTCTCTCCCGCTGCCTATGGGCGACCCTCCAAGAGTTGTCTGATCCCTGTTCTGGCTGGGAAGGTGAGTCCTGCTTCTCAAAGGAACAGCTCCCCAGGGCGGGGTTGGTCCCACTCCGGGCTGGAGGGATAATTCCAAAGCCAACTGGCTGGTGCTGGGACAAAAGAGAAACTTAGTTTCCTCATGAGCACTTTACAGTTTGTGTCTATAACCTTTATTCTCCCCGAAGCAGCCACCTTCCCCTCCCATCAGTGCCTGTTCAGTCTTTTGAACTGGGGGCTGGGGAGCGGAGAGGACGAGGATATGTCTGCCATCTTCCCTGGTGAGCCAGGAAGCAGGAGTTTGCCAAAGAACGAGGCTGGCATTTGTTGGGTTCCCATGGGCCGAGCACTGTGTGAGGTACTTCCCCATATTCTCATGTAATTGTTTGAGTCATAAGCCTAGCAGCTTGTTCAGCTCGTATGTCTCCTCTTCCTGCCCTTAGACAGCGGGCCGCACAACAGCAAGTTCCCAGACACGGGGCCCTATGTTTCTCTGGGCCTTTCGGTTCAGTGGGTACCTCTGAGAGCCAGCGGGCGGATACACATCTCACCTCTGCTTCCTGTGCCTCAGTTTCTCCCACATCCGTGGGAGGTGATTAACCTGGGTTCCATAAAGCATTCCAAATTCAGACGAGAACAGGTGTTTAGAGAGCAACATGACGGTTCCACGTAACCCCTTTTTCTCGGTATGGGTGTGAGCGCGTGACAGGTATCAGGCACCGAGAAAAATGTGTGTTCAGTGCTTGGGGGGGAGGCTGAGAAGGAAGACAGGATTCAAAAGACCTGGATTTCATATACAAGAACCGCCCCCCCCCCAACCCCAAATGCAAATAGCAGAGCCACAGAGGATGGGGTAAGGGATTGGGTAGGGGGTTCTGATGGGGCCAGGGACAAAGGTGCCCCACACTTGTGCCAGAAAGCAAGCAAGCAAGCAAGCAGGTTCCATCTCTCACTCTCACTCTCTTGGAATGCTCAGACCCCTTCTGGAAATGGGAGAAGAGTAGATGTGAAAGGTACGTGGGTGAGACTGCTTGGTATTCAGTGGGTAGAGAGCTACCCTCAGGTGAGGCGGGAGGGGGCAGGGTGGGCCTGCTGGGAGTGCACAGGGAGAAAGGTGGAAAACCACAGCTCAGAAGCCGTGCAGCCGTGAGATGTTCCTGCTGCCTGCCTGTCTCCCCACCCCCAAAAGGTGAAACAAAACCCAAATAAAAGCCTGACCCGGCAGATATTAATACTCCAGAGCCAGGGCTGGTGTGCAAGCAGCCACCCCCCTCTTCCCCCTTGTGTTTCTATAAGCGGCTGAAATAAATTTAGCGAAACAACCCCACCCATCCGAGGGCCTAAGATTTCAGAGCAGTGTGACTCTTTACCCTGAAAGCCCCTGTTTTTCAGAGCCAAGAGCTTTTTGTTTAGATTCCCTTTGGGAATAGAATGCTGTCAGTCTGAAATAATTATTTTATTGCAGTCATCTTTTCCTGATAGATCAATGCTTCGACACAGAATGGCTTGCTAGAAAGCTGCAGTTTCAAGTGGCCAGCTCCATGGAGCTAATGCCTGGTTGGATCCACTGGGGTATTTATCGTCCAGTTATTCTTCACAATGTCTGAATGTTCAGCCAAGTCCTTCTGCTGTCTGTCATAAGGGCAGTGGTTATGGCTGGATAAGTTACTAAAGTAGAGAATTGTTAACTGTGTGTTAGGTACCGTTGCAGGCACTGAAGGTTGAGTGGAGAGCAGAGAGACTGCTCTCATGGAGTATACATCCTAGTGGGAAGGGAGATGTCAAAAATTTAAATGACCAGGGGCACCTGGGTGGCTCAGTCGGTTGAGCGTCTGACTTTGGCTCAGGTCATGACCTCACGGTCTGTGAGTCTGAGCCCCGCGTCGGGCTCTGTGCTGACAGCCTGGAGCTTGGAGCCTGCTTTGGATTCTGTGTCACCCTCTCTCTCTGCCCCTCCCCCACTCATGCTCTGTCTCTCTCTCTCTCTCTCTGTCAAAAATAAATAAACAACAACAAAAAAGTTAAACGACTGTAAAATAACCTGAAACCAATGTTGTACTTAATAGTCAAAGACTGAATGCTTTCCCCTAAGATTGGGATCAGGTGAGGGTGTCCACTCATGAATGCCTGTTCAGTATCATACTGGAAGTCCTAGACAGGGCAATAAGGCAGGAAAAAGAAATGTAAGGCATGAGATTGGAAAGGAAGAAATTAAGCTGTTCCTATTTGCAGATAATTGTCTATGTTAAAAACACATACACACAAAACAAAACTTAAGGAATCTACCAAAAAAACCTTACAACTAAGGTGACTTAGAACACAGGATACAAGGCCAATGCACAAAAAACTGTATTTCTATACACTAGCCATGAAAAATTAGGAACTGAAATTAAGAAAAAATATAATAGTTCCCCAAAGGAGGGAAATACTAGGTATAAATCTAACAAAACGTGTAGGATCTATAGGCTAAACACTACAAAGGGGTGTCTGGGTGGCTTGGTTGGTTAAGTATCCAACTTTTGATCTCAGCTCAGGTCTTGATCTCAGGGTCATGGGCTCCATGCTGGGCAAGGAGCGTACTTAAAAATACATATAAAAAAACTATAAAACACTGATTCAAGAAACGAAAAGCCTACATAAATAGACATACCATGTACATGGATTAGAAGACTCAACATGGTAAAGATGTCACTTGAACTGATCTATAGGTTTAACGCAACTCTAATAAAATTCCTAGTACAATTTTTTTGGAAGATACAGACAAGATGATTCTGAAATTTATATGAAAAGGCAAACTAATGAGAATACTTTTGAAAAATAAGAATAAAGTTGGAGGAATTACACCACCTGATTTTAAGACTTCCCATGAAGCCACGATAACCGAGACAAGTGTAGCACTGGCAAAAGAATGGACACACAGACCAGTGAAACAGAATAAAGAGACCCATACAACTATGACCAACTGATTTTTGAATAGGCGCAAACAATTCAATGGACAAATGATAGTCTCTTTAATAAACAGTGCTGGGGGGGGTGGTGGGCCTGAGTTGCTCAGTTGGTAAGCATCTGGCTCTTGACCTCAGCTCAGGTCATGATCTCGGCTCAGGTCATGATCTCACAGTTCGTGGGTTCCAGCCCTGCATGGGGCTCTGCGCTAACAGTGCAGAGCCTGCTTGGGATTCTGTCTCTCTCCCTTTCTCTGCTCCTCCCCATCTCGTTCTCCCTCTCTCTTTCTCTCTCTCTCTCTCTCTCTCTCTCTCTCTCCCCTCTCTCTCTCAAAATAAATAAACTTAAAAAAAACCCAACAACAGTGTTAGGATTGAACACCCAAAGGCAAAAAAACAAACCTCAACCTAAATTTCCCATCGTATATAAAAACTAACTCAAGATGGATCACAGATCTAAGCGTAAAGCATAAAACTATTAAATTTTAAAAGAAAAAATCTTAATGCAGGGTCAGGTAAAGAGTGTGAGATGCAACATTAAAAGCATGATCCACAAAAGAAAAACTGGAAAAAAGTCATCAAAACTGAAACCTTCTGCTCTGTGAAAAATATTTTGCTCAGAGAATGAAAAGCTAAGGTGCAGACTGAAGAAAATATTTGCACATCACATATCCAACAAAGCAACTGTATCTAGAATATATAAAGAACCCTCCGGGTGCCTGGGTGGCATCCTGCTCTGTGATGACAGCATGGAGCCTACTTAGGATTCTTGCTCTCTCCCTCTCTCCCAATAAACAAACAAACAAACAAACAAACATTTTAAAAATAAATAAATAAAATAGCTTAAAAAAAAAAAAAGAGGGGCACCTGGGTGGCTCAGTCGGTTAAGAGTCTGACTTCGGCTCAGGTCATGATCTGGCAGTTTGTGAGGTGGAGCCCTGCATCGGGCTCTGTGCAGATTTTGCTTCAGATTCTGTGTCTCCTTCTTTATGTGCCCCTCCCCCGCTCGCGCTCTGACTCTCTCTCAAAAATAAACATTAAAAAAAAAAAAGAACTCTCAATACTCAAGAGTGGGAAAACAAATAACCCAGTTTAAAAAATGGGCAAGACCTGGACAGATATTTCACCAAAGAGGACATACACATATAGCAAGTAAGTACATGAAAAGATGTTTAACATCATTAGCCATGAATGAAATGCAAATTAAAACCATAATGAGATACTACCACACACTATTGGAATGACTAAAATAAAAAATACGGACAATTGTAAGGCTTGGTGTCGGGGTGTGGAACAACTGTTGCTTACATGTAACTTACATATTGCTGTTGGAGATGCATAATGGTATATCCACTCTGGGAAACAGTTTGGCAGGTTTCTTTTTAAATGTTATTTATTTATTTTGAGAGAGAGCATGCGAGCAGGGGAGGGGCAGAGAGAGAAAAAGAGAAAGAGAGAGAGAGAGAGAGAGAGAGAGAGAGAGAGAGAGAATCCCAA